TGTACTTTGATTCACTTGTCTACTTGGAAATTTTGTTGTAATCAGGGATACTCAAGTTCTTTACCAAGCAACTTGTTGGCAGCTAATGTCCATGCTCCTCGGGAGTCTGATATTTCATACTCAATATTTCCTACGCATGCAATGCCCCCAAAGTATGGCAACACAGTTTCTTCCGCTGGTAGTCCGTCATTTTCTATTCCAGAGGTGGACATTCATGAAGTTTGCCTTCCATTAGATATTTATATAAATTTTCTCCCCCTTTTTTACTTTGTTACTAACAGTTGCCTTCCATTAGCTGCAGGCTTTGCAAATGGTTGGCTCATCAATTTCCATGCCAGAGGTGCTCCTTCTTGAAACTTAATCCTTGGTTGTAGGGCTATAGGTTAAAGTTCAATGGATTTTATTTAGATATTTGTTGATACTTTTTCCATCTTTGTCTACTCTGTGCTATATGGGGACTAAGGAGTCTTAATATATGTAAATTTAATTTGAATTATTAACAATCATATTTCATTTTCTTTGCAATTTCTAAGTTAAAACCTAAATACGGTGAAAAAACACAAGAAAGTAATTTTCCTCTTCTGCACCCACCTAATTTGACTTAGAGTAGGCCTCGATTTTCCGCCTAGCCTAGTCTTTTTTATTTGAAGTTGATTTTTTCATCAATATGCTGCAGGGTTTGAAAAATGTTGGTATGTCGTCAACGCAGCCGCCTAGTCAGCAGGACCTAAGTCTTAACGGGACCGGACTTGCAACAGGACCTGCTCTACATCAACAGCTTAATTTACATCCATATTCACAACATACACTTTCTGCAGTGAGTCCCTTTGGGAACATGATTGGCTATCCTTTTCTGCCACAGAGTTATGCATACATGCCCTCTGCTTTCCAACAAGCATTTGCAGGTAACAGTGCTTACCATCAATCACTGGCTGCAATGCACCCTCAGTATAAGAATAGTTTATCAGTCAGCAGCTTGCCCCCCCAGTCTGCAGCTGGTGTTCCCTCTGGCTATGGGTTTGGGAATACTGCTGCAGTTTCTGCGAACTTTCAAATGAATAACCCCACAGCTCCATCCGTGTCATCCTTAAGTTATGATGATTCACCAATTCCTCACTATAAGGACTCCACTAATCTATTGTCTCTTCAGCAGGTAAATATTTGTGTGGTTGTGCTTACTGTTTTACGTTTTTATTTTCGTTTTCAAATTTCCTAAATGAAATTTCCATTTGTGTATCTTGTTTATATTGCTCTACCTCATCCCAAAAAGAGGTGTTTCACCATGGTGCATTTTTTTTATTTATAGTAAGGTACAACTTTTAAATTACACGTATATAAAAGTACATTTAGGGTGCATTTTGGGTTGGGTTCTGTTTTTTGAAATGATCAACCAGCTGATTCTTTTTTTGATTCTAGAATCAAGCAATTTTTTGTTTCTAAAAATCAAAATCAGGTGATTCTTTTGCTGATTCTAGAATCAGTCAATTGTTTGCTTCTAATTCCAGTGATTCTTTTGCTGATTCTAGAATCAAGCAGTTGTTTGCTTTTGAAAATTAGATTCTGGTGAGCATAATCATCCACGAGTCTAGATCCTCAGAATTAGCTAAAAAATATATAATCTAAACACAAATGGACCCTAGATATATTAAAAGATTGGATTCTTTTGTTCAAAGATCCTTCTCGATGGGGGAGCATTTGCAATGAAAACACAGTATCTGATTTTGTAGACAGTAATTAGATTTTACATTCTTAACGAGCCCGGGATCTTTTTTGTGAAAAAATTGCCTTTGTTTCAAAGAGTGCCCTTTTATGGACAGATAGTTATTATTATGAAAATATATAATTTTTATTGACATTTTAAATGTTTTTGTGAATATTGTAAAAAATGGGAACCAATTTTCCAAAACAAAGAGATCTATTTATCCGCAATAGTTAACATTATGTGTCTTCAGTAATGGAAGGCAAAATCATTATTGTCAGCACATTTCATTCTTTCTAAATGAAACAGAAAAAAACATAACCAAAGGAACCTATGTTTGGGGTGGTTGCCAGTTTTCAGTTTTGAAAATTACAAGCACCAAACTGAAAACCTTTTTTCCAAGATCTGCCATTTTTTTTATAAAAATAGTGAAAACAAAAAAGAATATCACCTAATCTGTCACTTTTGGTAAATGTGTCTTAAAGTATGCCAAAGGGCAATGGGTATGCTCTCATTTGTGAGTTGATGTGTGTGTGTGAGTTGATATATTTAGTCCTTTTTTTCATTCCAGAGCGAGAATTCAGCTGCATCATGGCTACAAGGACCTAATTCTAGAACAATGTCGGCCATTCCGGCCGCAAGTAACTACTACAACTTTCAGGGACCGAGCCAGCAGCAATCCGGCGGTGGAGGATTCAGACAAGCTCAACAACAGCAACAGCAACAACAACAACAGCAACAACAAGCATCACAGAATTACGGATCTTTGGGTCACTCGAACTTCTACCATTCCCAAACCGGATTGTCAATGGACCACCATCACCATCATCAACAGCAGCAGCAGCAGCAGCTTCAAAACCCCAGAGATGGTGTCCAAGTTGGGCAGCAGCAGCAGCAGCAGACTAATCAGTCCCAACAGATATGGCATAACTACTAAACTTACCAGTGGCATTCTGGAGGGTGTGTCTTGTAATGAGAGAGTGTGAAAGTGGCCTTTTTTCAAGCTAACCAGTTGCCCTTCCCCAGCAGTGATTTGAGAGTTAATCTTCTTATGTCCCAAAGGGACTTGACTGGTTGGTTACTGCATGCCTGCCTGCCCTTTTCCCAAAGAGGATGTACTTCACATATTCATTATGTTTAGTGTAACGTAGGACGCTATCTGTTTTTCCTTTTTGCTTTTTTTTTTTATTTACTTCTGTCTTATAGCTCTCTTTTTTCTCGGTTGGGAATTGTGTTTTTGATTTTTCGTCTTTTGTATGAACCGGTGTGATTGCCTTATTGTTGCTAACCAATTTTAATTCCTTGCTGGTTTAGTTTCCCCATCCTGAAGAGATATACTATATGGGTTTCTCAGTGTTTCTTTCATTTCAGTGGCT